CAGCAGGAAAAGCAATATATATGTACTTAGCTGGGTTTAACAGAACAGTACCTTTCTCTTAGCTTTGAGCTGTTCATGATATTTGTCAGATGTGTCACCTGGAATCTCTCCTCCCCATAGGGTAATTCCAACTATGGTATAAGTGATACCCATGACAAGCAGTGGAAAACAGTATACCAGTACAATCACAATGACATGATACCTGCAATAAAAGAGCTTGAATTGATAAATGCTTTATAAGGAGCTGTTCAGATAGAATTTGATGTTCATACTATCAGAAATAAACAGTGCTACTCTAAGGAAGAAAATAACAGCATTTTCTATATTTAGTGGCAATGACTGTTTATGCTACTGTATTTACCTGAATCCAAGATGACTTTGAATTTAAGATGACCTCCACCAAATAACTAGATTCTAGACATGGAAAATGTATTAATTTGTTATTATTTTCCATGTATAGAATCTAATTAAATTTGTGCCCCCCTTCCCCCCCACTGTGGAGAAAACTGCAGGAGAGTAGGCAGTGGGGGGGCAAGTGGTCTGACCCCTGCACCTTGCCTCCGTCTCACTTGCCCCCGCTGCCACCTACCCACTCTGGTACCTGCACACCCAGCAAATGCCCCTCCCGTCCCTTGGTGCCTGTGCCTACTGCCATCTGCCCCACCATGCCTGTGACCACCCTGTGGTGCCTGTGCCTCCTGGTGCTTCCCCTCCTTGTGCCTGTCCCCTTGTTCCTGTGCTTCCCAGTGCCTGAACCCCTAACCTGGTGCCTGTGGCCCCTGATACCTGCCCCCCTGCCTCTGTCCCTCCTGCAGCCTCTGCCCCCCTGCTGCCTGCTCCCCGCAGCCTCTGTCTCCCTACACTACTTACTGTTAGTTGCTGCTCCAGCCCCATTATGGCTTGGGGTAGCTCCAGCCCTGGCTTGGCCACACAACAGCAGCTTCAGGAGCAGTAACTCTGGCTCTGGGGTGCCAGAGCTGCTGCCTCTACTGCTGCTGCGGCATGGATGGGCTGGGGCCAGAGCTACCATGTACTCCATGCCCCAGGCTAGAATAGGGGTGCAGCTGCAATTGACAGTAAGTGGTGGGGGAAGAGGAGGCAGATGTGGCAAGGGACCAAATGGAGGTGAGGGGCAAGCAGCCAGAATGACCCTGGGTTGGGGCCAGGATCAGAGCTGCAGTAGCTGCCTTCCCCCTCCCCTCTCTTTGCCTTGTATATTTTGAATGGGAAAAAGACCTCATCTTGCATTTGAGTAAATATGATAGCTTGTCCTCTGATCCAGTATTCTTACTGTCTTCTCATACAAGTCTGGACTGTGAACTGCAAAATTACATTACAATCAAAATAAAGTTCTATCGGATTAGTCCAAAATATCTCATCATGTTTCTGAATTCAGTCTAGTAGAAATCAGCATTAACTGAAATGCCAGTATGCCACTGCAAGATAGTGTGACTGTACCAAAATTATTTGAATAGACTCAAATAATACACAAAAATATACAAAGGAACACAATTGATTTTTATTTAAATATTTGAAAACCTAGCTTTTTGCTGTATCTAATATGACGTTAATACAAGATTCCTTGTTTGCTCTTCCAGATCTAGTGCCATTTGAAAAACCTTTAAAGCAAAAGGTAATTTAATCACAATTCTTCTAGATAAAAAAGCAGGGAATATTTAAGTTAAATCATTGTTTTAAAGGCTTTTTCAACACTCTTTATTCAGAATGATAAATTGTAGAAAAGCAATTGTGGTAATATAATGGGCCAAGTCATACCTCACAGCCTAATCCACACATAAGAGTCCAGAAGCAAGTTTATCCCTTGGGAACAGGGAGAAGATTGGTTGGGCTTATTTTCCTATGGCCATGTATAAGTGTATGAGAGAAATTCAAATTTCTACTAAGAGAATTGCTTTCACCTGATAGAAACCAAAAGTATTATAAATGCACACACTCATTCTGCCATACCAAAATTGGTGTTTTGGGAGAAAAATAAGCTGACTACAACCAGTTTGAAGTCACTCCTGGTCCCAGGAGAATGAACATCTGTGGCTTTCTCCCAGCTTAACTCCTCCCAGGGACCAAAAGGATTGAAGCCAGATTGAAGGCTCCTGTGCCTTCCCAAGATGGGTGAAGTGCAAGAGCTGGGAGCCAAATGCAGGGAGTGCGGTCCCTGCCTGTGCCCCTGTCCCCGCTCCCTCTCCAACCTTCTTTGCAGTCTGGAAATCTTGGCGTGAGAAGTGGACAGGATGCTTTGCCTGGAGCACCTGGCACCTGGAGCTGAGCTGAGGCAGTAACGCTAAAGTCCCCTGCCTGCTTCTCAAAGTAAAGCATGCCCCCAGCAGGGTGGGACAGGCTAGGGGCTGGAGCCAGGGTGATGCTGACTCTTACTGGCCAGTCTGCAGCAGCGGTGGCGCTGCCGGCAGATCCGGGGGCATGCGCCACCTGTGCCCTCCCAGGTTGCATGCCCATCCTCCCCATGCCCCCCAGATAAGCTGCTCACAGCTTCATACCCCACCTTGCACTGGCTGTGCAGGGCCCCCCCCCCCCCCTTTTCCCTGCGCCTTTCCCTACCCCCCCACTGTTGGGGGTGGGGAGATCGAGGCCGCAGTGGTGAGGGAGGGAGGGAGCTAGGGCTGGGGTCTCGATCTGCCCTGCCCCCCCAAGGCCCTTTTCCCTTCTCCCTCCCCTCCCCACAGACTTGCTTGGGTGGGTAGGAAGTAGATCTTCGGTTACTTTTAAATTCCAAAAGTGCTCTCCAACCTAAAATGGTTGGAGACTACTGGTCTAGAATAAGAAACCAGCTGGTATAAAATCAGTGCAGCTTCTTTGTGCCTAGTAGAGGTAGGTCAATTTATCACAGATAAGATCCAGTTCAATCCTTGTTATATCACATAGGAGTGTAGGCTAGGTACCTTAAATTCTACATAGCAACCCAAGTAAAGAACAATCACTTAAATACCATGGTATTGTACATGAGAGCTTGTTATCATTGTTAAGAGATGATTGATATGGGCCTGGAAGCTATTCTACAGACTTTGCAAAATGTATCTTTGTTTAAATAGAGGCATGCATTAATTTAAAATAACAAAAGCTTACGTAAAATGCTGTTTTGGACCACCTGGCCATGCTACATAGCAAAGCGTTCTCCCAGGCATCACCTTGGTTATGGAGTAGAGACACTGTGGAAATGCAAGTAGGAAAGCCAAAATCCATATGCTCCCAATGACTACCTTAGTAGCAGTTGCAGACAGCCTGGGCTTCAAGGGATCAATAATGGCCATGTATCTGTGTAAGGAATAAAAACAGATTTCGTGAGAAATCTTCAGTGTTTCTAAAAGAAAGCAGGTCTTGCAGTTTGGAAAATGAAAGAAAAAGATAGTTTGTTTTCTTCCCTTCAAAGAGACAGATCTCACACTTTTCAGGTGCATATTAGCCTGATCTAGCTCCCTTTAAAATGAATGAAAAAACTTAATTGATTTCAAGCTGAAATTCTGAATGACACTTTCTAATGAACTGTTCTGTAAATCAGAACAAGGGGAAAGGAGGTTCAGCTGACTGTTTTTAAAAGCTATGGTGCACATAGTTTACCATACATATACCACTACATCAGCTGATTCACAATAAGTTAGTTAAGCTTTCCAAGGATGGAGTTGATTTATGAATCAACAAACCAACTATAAATCTTAATGTACAGCTCCTCTCTTGTTGACTTGACGTATATACATGAGCTTCCTCACTATACATTCTGAAGTGTTGTCTCAGAGCAGTGAGTCTCAATCTGGGTGCTGTGGCACACTGGGTGCCCTGAGATCCTTTCACGGGTGCTGTGGGGTTCCATGTATATTAGCACTGTTAGGAATGCAAACAAGTGTCACACAATAAACCTAGAGATTTCAAATAGGAATCCATAGTTTTAAAATAATTCTGATCTGTTGCGGTCTTTTTGAGGTTTTGCAACAGAATTGCTTTATTATTTTTCTGTAGTCAAAAATGAAAAGAAAACCAAGAGCTAACATTTTCTGAGTGGTGTCTTGAGTCTAGTGAGAGGTGCCTTGAATTTATCAAGGTGTATCTTGAGTATAAAAAGGCTAAGAACCACTGCCGTAGGCTTACATGGGTGAGAAAAGTAAGCCACATTTAGTCTGTTATTAAGGTAGGGTATTGTTTGTTTGCATACAACAGATTTGGTATCAAATCTAAAAACCAGTAACCAAACCTGCAAGGTTACACTGGTGCCATAGACCAGCATATAGTCTTTGTCTATTTCAAGAGATGTTACATCTTTACCATATTTACTCATATAAGACAACCCTGACAAAAAACAATAGTGAAAATAAATCTGGAAGGTCAGGTAGCTTCTTTGCCACCTCAGCTTCTTATCCTGGGAGCTCCTTTCCCCCTTCCTTGCTGTCAGACTATGTTCTCCCTTAGCACATAGAAGAAGGGAACAAATCTGAAAATGCTAACATTGAAATAAACATAATATTCCAGATAGACAAATTACAGTAAGTACCTATGGACTTAGTTCATCCAGAACTGGAATATTTTATCTTTTTAAAAACTGATATAAGTTTTAGAAAAGGTACATAATATGCACAATTTTAAGCAGTATTTTTTATAATTACTTATGTATAGTACAGACTTTTATTTATTTATTTTGTATTTCATAGTTTCATAGTAGCTAGGGTCAGGAGGGACCTGAACAGATCATCTAGTCTGCCCCCCTGCCACAGGCAGGAATGAATGCTGGGTTCACAAGACCCCAGACAGGTGATCATCCAACCACCTCTTGAATTTGCCCAAGGTAGGGGCAAGGACCACCTCCCTGGGAAGCTGGTTCCAGATTTTGGCCACCCTAACTGTAAAATATTGCCTTCTGATCCCTAACCTAAACCTATTCTCCATCAGCTTATTACCATTGTTCCTTGTCACCCCAGGTGGTGCTGGGGAGAAAAGGGCTCTGCCTATTTGCTGTTGATCTCCCCTGGTGAGTTTGTAGGCAGCCACCAGGTCCCCCCTCAGCCTCCTCTTGCTGAGGCTGAACAGGTTCAGGTCCCTCAGTCTCTCCTCGTAGGGCCTGTCCTGCTGCCCTCTCACCAAGCGGGTGGCCCTCCTCTGAACCCTCTCCAGGCTGGCCACATCCCTTTTGAAGTGCGGCGCCCAGTACTGGACGCAGTACTCCAACTACAGCCTGACCAAAGTCGCATAGAGGGGGAATATCACCTCTCTGGATCAGCTTGAGATGCACCTTTGGATGCATGACAAGGTATGGCTGGCCTTGCTG